TTTTTTTTTTTTTTTTTTTTTTTTTTTTTTTTTGTGCTGCGCACTCTACTGACAATGAGTCCGCTATTCACGCCTTCTACGGCTCCTCTGCCAATAGCAGAGTGCCCAATCGGGAAAAAGGAAAACCACAGGAATAAACAAATAAAAGAAGGGGGAAAACAAACGGAAAAAAAAAAAAAAACAGCACAGAAGTACTGGTCGCCCGTGCCGAGGGACCGGTAGCTCCCTATATCACGACTACTACTTATCAGCTGTATTCCCATGAGACAAAGAGGTTCGTCGCATGGGGAAAAAAAAGGTTCGGCAGTGCTCTGGAGGGTACTGGTGGTTTAACAGTCGCATGATAGCTAACAGAGCGATAGCAGATTGAGAGTTAGGTTATGGCAGCTGTAAGCAAGTGGAGAACTTTTAAGACGTGTCTGAGAGAGAAAACAACAGCACACTCATTTAGCTGCAACAGATTGCATAAAGCAATAGTGGAGACGATGGCAAGGGTACCCAAACTCAGCTTCTGAATCGCAAAAACACACACGCCGCTGCATGAAGAGTGAGCCTCTTTCCGCTCTGAATACAAGCACCTCTCTTCCCGAAATTGGACACCTTCCAGGAAAACAGCCCGCAATGGTGAATGTACATCTTCTCAAGCGAGGAGAGGTGTGAACGTGACTCGAACAGCGATAAGAATCTGACCTGTCAGAAACTGAGTGCCATAAATAGACAGAATTAAGGCCAGCGAAATAACATCAGATGGAGACAGCAACCACAGCTCCTTTTTTTCTCTCAACTTGTTACCATCATGTTTCGAGAGTTCATGGATGTACCAACTAAGCTAGGCCCATTGGTACAGCTAGTGATGTGGTATGGAGGGACATACAGAATAAAACAACCAAACAACTGATTTGTTCTCAGAATTGCTGACCTGTACAGTCCACTGATGCCTTCTTCTGCAAGAATAGTAGTCAGAGCATGACCCACTCCGTTGTACTTTGCTGAAAGACCTGGTACCTGCAGACACACGATCAGTACCCGCCGCCAAAGTTACTTTTAAAGTCCAGCAGCCATAAATCTATATACATAAGCACGTGGAGTAGAAGAAGAAATAAGATGAGCGAAGAAAATAAAAATCAAAGGACAGAGGCAAAGAGACGGACAAAGCAGAAGGACACAAAACAGTGTCCTCTTTTTTTTTTTTTTTTTCCCAAAAAAACAGGTCCTTATGGCCCCCGCTCCATTTCGATTCTGGGGAGCATCAGTCCGGTTCCTATTCCACTGGCAAGTCAGGATAAAATATTACATCATGAAACCCACTCACGCTTCCTTCCGTCCGGCCGAAGGATCCCTGACCAGCATTGATTACTCCAACATCGTGGAGGATTGACTGTCAGCTTGCCTTACTTCTTCCTTCCCTCTCAGGTCAACTGCATGACCTGTCAAATACATAATAAAAAGCAAGAAAGGTAAAAGAAGCCACTGAAGATTCAGTATCGGATTACGCCCTCCAACATTATGTGACCTGTGATGAAGCTAGTCCTTCTGCTGGACCGAAACGTTCTCTGGGAGGTCTGGCTCCTGTACTAGCCCTTGAGTTGGCTTTAATTCGGGCGAAGAAATGTTTCGACATTGATTCGCTTAGCTCATATTTGTTCATTCTGGCTCTTATTTGCAGTCCTTTTAGGTCCCACCATCGCCACATGGCCAGTTCTTCCCGTGCTTTCTCGAAGATGTCGGTGTACAGCGGGGACCAAGGATTGTCTACCAGGTTGAACGATCTTTAAAGCTAACTCCAGAGCTTGTCTTGTTTTGTTTTCTTATTGTAGCTAGCGTCCTTGAGATCTTAGCCACTGTCTTCGACAAGCTGGAGTAGCTCTCTTGGAACCATGTCCATCGACCGTGTATGGGTAAGCGCGCATCTCTTTGATTCTGCCAACAGTCATAAACCCCTCCCTGGAAGGTCTGACTCAACAGGAGAGAGTTATTCAGTTTATGAAAACTGGCTCCTTTCCTTACAAATTGCTCAAAACAAATTGTGAGTTCAATCGGTTTGTGGTCCAGGCTTGGGTATGGTGCCAGGTCTATAGTGGCATTTAAGTCGCCCACTAAGATACATGATGATAAAGGAGAGATCAGTCGACCTAAGTTATCTAGAAAAGTTATCCTCTCCGACGGATCGTTTGGTGCGTATACATTGAACAGTACAAATTCTTCATCTTTCCACCTAAAGTGCACACCGCACCACCTCCCGTCATTTGTGTCCACTTCCTTTCTTATGACAGATCATGTTATGTAAACTCGAGACGATCTGGGCACCAGGATGTCCCTTTCGTGCTCGATACGCTGTCTGCCGACCATATTTCGTCTTTAAAGCCTCCCATCTTCCTTGCTAAGAAAGTTCGAATTCTTTTATGTTCAGTTGAGAGGGCTAGATGGGTTTCTTGTAATAATATAATATCAGCAATTCTTTTGTTGTGAACTGTAACACCTCTGATGAGGTCGTTTAATTTGTTTTCTTTGTCTATAATATTGTCGAGCCCGTTGATGTTCCAGCTTCTAATAACTATCCCTTGATTCTTCCAGCCCCCACTATCTGCCCCCACATTGGCTACTCTTCTGAAATCCTCCATCTTTGCCGCTGTTCAAAGCAGCTCGCAACCATCGTATAGCTGGGACAGGGAATCTAGGAGGGGGGAAGCCCGCCCGTGTCCATCCCCACCGCCGTGTCCCCTGAAACGACCCCCAACGTGTCATGCCCCATTGTTGTAACCGGCTTTTCGTCCGGATCATCTATCTTGTCTAGCCCTCCGTTTTCGCTCATATCCTTCCCAGAATCTAGGCTCAGCCCCTCGCCTTCCTTCTCGTCGTCCCCGTCCCATGGTTCCGGTTGGCCTTCCGACTCATTGCTTCTATAGAATCTGTCCCAGTTTGTGGCATATGCTCTTGCATCCAAGTCGCCATCCCCATCCAGCATCCCCATGGAAGCGAGATGGGCCACCGACGCTGCCACTAGTTCCGCTGAGACACCCAGTCCTGCCAATATGCTGTAAGGAACAGCTGTCACTGTTTCCACGGTTTCCAAATCATTCCGGTCTTCAGCCGCGTCTTTTCAGGCATCTTAGCTATCAAGGGTGAGAACGCTCGGGTGTCTCCTAGACTCCGCTCCTCGTGTCTACTGATCGTCTTGACCATCTTGGGAGAGGATGTCATCCTAGTCTGATTCCAGAGTAACAGTCTCGAATATGCCCAGAGGGCTTTCCGCAGTCACCTTCTCTTGAAGGATGTTTGCCACATTCTGACCTTCAACGAACATCGGGATTTTGAAGGACACATCAGTGGCTATTTGCCACTCATCAACTTTTCTAACGTATATGGCAGCTATCAAAGGCCAAATGTTCAACATCGTCAAACGAGCGGACTTTGCTGAGTCCACCACCAGTGGAGCATCTCCATTAGCTATGTGTGCAATGGAGATGAACTCAGGTGTGTATTCCGTGTTCCATCTATGCAATTTCTCTGTCTGGGCCACGACCATTGCTGCCTCTTTCTCCAAAAGGGAACGTTCGAAATCTTCTTCTGTGTCTACTTGTTCCTCATTTTGACCCTTCTGTTTCTGATTCTTTCCGGTCTTCCATTTCTTTGGGCGCAGATCCTGAAAAACTCTTTAATGTTAGGGATAGTCTTATCTTTATCCGTCACCCCCTGATCCCTCGCCCTCTTCTTTTCTGCGTACCTGAAAGTTGCGTATTCAGAGAACTTTTTTGCTTTCTCCTTCCGAAGCAATTCGTATTGGTTACTGGAATTCTCTATGCCAGCAATGCTACATTTATTGTCGTTTCTCTCTGACCTCTCTGCGTGTTTCAAGCAAGCTACACAAATGTCAAAGGCGTGCTCTCTTTCCCTTTTAGCCTTTTCTATGTAGTCCTTGAGCCACCGCATGGAGCGCTGGGACACAACATCCCCATTTGTGGATGATCCCTCTGATTCCTTACTGCCCCCGTCTGGTCCACCGTCTGCCCCGTTACCCAAGGAGTTTGATGTTCAGCCCTTACTGCCTTCTTCGGAGGCTGTCATTTTCACTTTCTCCTTCCCATTTACATCCATTTTTTCGTTTCTTGGGGCCCGTTTCAGTAATCTTCTGTGTTATCATCCCTTAACGTGTGTTTGTTATCCCCCTGTGTTCTGTTATTTTTTCGTTGCGTTGACAGCTCAATATTCTTCAACTTGTCTCGGAAGACGGCTGGTTCCTTGTTGAACTCCTGTTCGGTTTGCTCCCTTATTGCATCCAAATCCCACAGCAAGTCTTCTTGTGCTTTCTCCTCCTTAATCACCCCTGAGTCAGTGAGCGGATTAGAGTTGATTTTCGTTGGATTCCCTGTTGTTTTCCCGGTTGCTTTTTTCTGCCATCTACTATCCGCTGGCGGGAAAATGTTGGGTTTTTTAACTGTCGGTTCCTGGTCGGCATAATGCCATACCCAATCTGGCTCATTCAGGTTGTCGTCAAGGACCCACCCATCATAGTTGGAGTCTGCGACAAACCATGTACCCAAAGCATCTTCCACTTCCATTAGCATATTGGGCAAAAGTTTCTTCTCTTTTGACTGTTTTGGGAACTTCGGACAGTTGGGGTTTGTTCCCATGTGGCCTCGTTCCCTGCATCTGAAGCAGATCGGGGAGGTCTTCGTTGACACCCTCACTTCCACTACTTTGTTCTCAATCTGCAATTTCCATGTTGGTGGGAAAACCGGGGGGTCGTATGTCTTAACCTCTAACACAATTGTCATAGACCCGCAATGCGGAGCCAAGAATTCTGGGGTCGGTAAGATCCATTTGAGGATCTTGTTTGTTGTGTACTGTCTCTCCAGTCTGTCCACCAGTAATCCATGGAAACCCGGCTGAATATTGTCGAATTGGACCCAAAAGTTTTCTTTTAGCAGAGTTTGTTTGTACGATACTGTGAAGACCGGGTTTTGTCTCTGTACAGTGAGTTTCTTCCATTTCGTCATAGCGCACACCAATCCGTTGCAATTTCTAGACTGCATCTCGGCTGCAATCCGTGCGTGATTTTCATGAATGAATATTGCCATAACGTTATTGCGACCCAGATTTTGAAGGGTGAAGGCTTCTCCAATTTGTTTGAGTCTCGATTCCTTTCTGATAGTATCTATGACCCATTTTCTCTTCTCTGTCGGCTGAAGATCTGCCCCGTGGCGTGCAAAGTTAAACACCACTCCATGCCTTTCGTGCAAATCATCCAGCTCAGCCACCTTTCCCTCTGGGTATTTCCAAACAATGATCTCTTCATCCTTGCCATCAGTCCTTTGCATTTCAGTGGTTTGAATCCCCTGGACTCTTGTTTTCTCAATTAGGAATTTAAGTGCTTCGTTGTCAATCACCTTTACCAGTTTTTCCAAAGGGCTCTGATCCAAGGTAGCAGTGTTTTGAGACGAGGTGGCCATCTCTACGCCCTTGGTTAAGCCGACCACTTCTTCAATACCTCTATTTTTCTAGAGGCAATAGGCAATAGGAATCGAGCCAACTATAGTATACTTGACTGACTGAGGGCTGTCGAAAAAATGGCTATCTAGAGAGGATGTAGAGAGACCCAGGGAACGGGAAATCAAGGGGGAGGTAGCTATAGGAGAAAGAAAGGTGGGGCAACACGTTGTCGGCGCGAATACCCTTACAAGGGTATCCGCCCTGGTTTTTGTAAATGACAGAAAAACGAGTTTGACTTAAAGTTAGGTATACCGCGCGAGGCGCAGCTGCGTCTGTGTGGTTACGATGGCAGGATGGTTGACTAGAACAAAGAGTGTGTGGGCGCGCAGGTTTTTGAGGCGCGCATGATTCTCTTAATTGTTGATGGGTGAAGAGTTGGCGTGGCCGCCGGCCAGATCTTTCTTCTGATTTAATAGGGATTAATAAGATTATGTCTCGTTAACTGATGTGTTTGCCTGTGACCTGTGCGTACGTGCAAAGGACGACACCGACCATAATGCAACCTTTGAAAACGG